TGCACCCCATGATAAAGTCACCATTGATTAAAAAATTGTTGTCCAATTAATTAAATTAACTAGTGAGTAGCCCCCTCGGGTTACTACTTTTATAGTTGTGCAACTGCTAATTTATAAGAGGATTTAATAGTTTGTATCTAGTATGTGTCAATACTTTGTAGTGTAATATTATTTATTGTGCAATGTTAAAGCATAATTAACAATTAGCCTAATTGGTTATACAATAACTTTTCTTCTAAGAGGTTAAGTGTTCAAACCTTTTCATCCATATATTTTTTTTCAAGTATTGTACTACGTATCTCAATTACTTCGTATATATGCATGTCTGCATCAAATTATTTACCAATACTTAACATGTTTATGTTTTGTTTGCTAAATTTCATTTTTACATGCAAATCTAATATAATTAGAGGGAAATTTTGACTTTTGGTACCACAAAAAGTCCTGTTATTGAATTTTGCTACCGCTAATTTTTTTTTTTTTTTTTTTACTACCACTACAAATCAGGTTTTTTTTAAAACTGACACCAGTTGACGGAAACTGTTAGATTAGCCGTTTGTGGGGCCCACGCAGTTAACTGACGTTTTGTTTCTTCATTATTGTTGCTTTCCCTCCATTGAATACGGTAACCCCCACCCACATTGCACTCCATTGAAGGCAGAATTTAATTTGTGTTCCCCTTCAATTCTCTCTCCACTGTCACCATCTCTATCTCTTTGGAGATGTACTGTAAATTTTGGAAATTGAAGCGCGTGGAAGGTCGAACACCATCTGCAAATTGAAGCGTCATCTCCATTGTGGAAAGCTGAACATTCTCCTGACAACCACCTGTTTGAAGGTACGAAACCTTGTTTATTTATAGTGGTCCAACAATGGTGGTAATTTCGCAATGATGCATTGTAGTTGGGGTATTTTTGGGAGAATTTGCAGTTAAACCTAGGTTACTGAGTTGTGATTTTTTAAAGCGTTGTTTGACTAATTAAAAATTGATTCTTGCAGTCATGTGGGTATATGAAGATGCCTTTTTTGTTAATGAATTGATTTAGTTACAGTTAAGAATAAAATAGTGTTTGATTTATTGAATCCTTGATTTATTTGTTTATTACTATTTAATTGTAGATAAATACCAATGGCTGTTATTGATAATGAGGTTGACATTAAGCTAAGAATATATGGGGGTTTTGTGATTAAGAACCCTAGGGGAGGAGGGCAGTACCAAGTGTATGAAGCTGGGTTCACTTATTGGAAAAGGAATGTGCCTCTCAATTACTTTTCAGTAGGATACTTAAGGTATTTATGTATTGAAGGGATTAGGGACATGGGGTGGGATGTACCTACCCTATATGCTGTGTGGTTCAAAGAGAAGGGTAAGTCTTGGATGACTGGTAAAAGAAAGATAGAAACTGATGAGGATGTACAAGGTTTATTAGATGCCAAGCACAGGGATGAGTATCTAGAGTTGTTTTGTACTGTTGCTGATGACCCTAGGCCCAATGAGGACCCCAAAAGCATTGTAGCTGAATATAATGGCCCCACCTCAATCCCAGAACAGTCCAACTTGAATGACAGTGCATCCAACTGGACTGGACATGTGTCTGGCCAGACTGTTACTAGATCCAATCCAACCCAACAAGAGCCAACCCAAAAAGAGCCAACCCAACAGGAGCCAACCCAACAAGAGGCAAACCAACAAGAGCCAACCCCACTTGAAACCCATTTGTCTACCCAAACTACTACTGTATCCAACTCAACCCAAACACAACCATCCCAAACACAACAAAGCTCAGTTCCACCTCCAACCCAGAAAAAAGCAGAAGAAGCTAATGACCATGTCTTAAGAAGGAGCCCTAGACTTTCTAAACAACCTGAAACAGAGCTTTGTGTGAGCAGATTGAGGAGAAGCCCTAGATTTTGTAGATCTATTGATAAGGGGAAGGTTAAGGTTGTAGAAAAAGATGGTGATGGGGATGTGAGGCTTCAAAAGGGTACAGGGCAGGCTAGTGTGAAAATAAAAGCAAGGAGGGCTCTTAAATTGGGGGAAGAAGATGAATCAGGTTCTGGGTCATCAAGCTCAGATGCAAGTGATCTAGAAATCGATTGGGAGCCTGGGGAAGAAGAGGCCCTAAGTGATGATGCTGATTGGCATAGGCAGACTAAGGCTGACATCTTATCTGCAGTAGAAAATAGCTTCCAGGTTGTGAAATGCAGTGGTCAAAGTTCACAGGGTGTATGTATGGACAGGGAGGAGGATGTGAAACAGTTGAGTAAGGACATTGGATGGGAGGAAGTTGATGTTCATGATGAAGGTTCTAAGTTAGATGAGCTAAGGAGTTTACAGGGGTCAGATGAGGAAGAAGATGACAGTCCCTAGTTTCATGAAGAGACTGATTTCAAGAACCCAATTGTGCTAGTGAAGAAGTTGAGGTTCACCAACAGCACAATTCTAAGAAAAGCCTTGAGGATACATGCAATAGAGAACAGATATGAGTATTACTATCTGCACAATGGTGGTAAAAGGATTACCACATTTTGTAAGAGAAGGTGTAAGTGTAAGTGGAATTTCAAGAGAAGCAAAGTGACTGGGGTCTGCAATTGTAGTGCTAGGGTGAAGAAGTGCAGTTTTAAGGTTTCTGCAAGAAAGCTGGAGAGAGGAGAGGGAGCATCTGAAAGCAGTGGCAGCCAGCAAAAACAACAAAAGAGGCAAAATAGGTGTGCAAACTGTGGACAACTTGGTCATTATGCCAAGACTTGTGGCAATCCACCATTGCAAGCTCCTACACCTCCACCAGATGCCAAACTAGCATGCAAACCAGTTTTGCAAAATGCTTGGAACAAGGAACAAAGAAGAAAGAAGGAGGCAAGGGCTGCAATGAAGGTGTGTACATTATCAAGCCTAACACACTACATGTCTACTGCTTTTTTGGATAAACTAAGATTTTTTTTTTGACAGACTAGTGGAACTCCTGGGCCATTCAGCACAGCAAACCAAAAATTCCCTCAACAGAGGCCATCCCAACAACAACCTGCACCCTGCACCCAAGCATCCCAGGCATTAACAACAACAACTGCAGTAAAAAAGAGAACAACAACAAAACAGCCAACAAGAAAGCAAGGAAAAGGGAAAATGAAGAAGAATTAGAGTGTAGTTTTTAGTCCCTAGACTTTTAGCTTCCTGGATATTGTACCCTGCAACTTTCATTCTATGGTTTTTAAGACAACTTTGTTTTGCTAGTATTTGTCTATAACAACTAGTTCTGTGGAATATAGCTGTGATGGTTGCCAAGCACTTTAGTGCTGAAATTTATATGACAAACTATTTGATTGCCACATTTATTTGTTGCAAATATCATTCACATAAATACACCAACAATAACTAAATATCATTCATAAACAATTCAAAATCTTACATTTGGAAGTTGTTGTCTTACACCAACATCATCTAAATACACAACTTGTAACTGTAACCAAGTTGAATCTCATTTCAATACAAGTAACACAATTATAATCAGAAATAAACAACATATGGTCATTGCTAGGATAGTTGTGCAGCCGCCACCATATTTGTATTGGCTTTCCTTGCTGTATTTCTTCCTCTCAGAACTTAAAGCTTTGCACTTCACTAGCAAGTTGTCATTCTCACTTAGCAAACACCTTCTTTGGCCACTTAAATCTTCAACTTCTCTCTGCAGTGAGTTTATTTCCCCCTTCATCAATTTCTTGTCAAGTAAAAGTTGATTAATGACATCCCTTTTCCAGTCTGTGCCATCTTCCTCATCCACCCACTCAAAGCACTTGCAACCCCTACTTTCTGTTTTAGGATCATAGAATTTGCAGGCTTTGAACTTCCTTCCAGGATTCTCTCTTGTCCATGATGTCAGCTTAGCCATAGGTATCCCATAGTCACACTTCCTTTGTTTAGAGGGAGAAAACCTCATCAACGACATTATACCCTGCAATTCAACCAAATTAAGCAACAACTATAATCACACATTCATTAAACAAACATCACCTTCAATTACTCCCTACAGTATCACAAATCAAAACCCCTAATTTCAATTCGGGTAAGAACCCTAAATCGAATTACTGGTATTAACTACCAATTACACCATTACTAAATCCTATTCAGATTCTACATCATTCCTAAACAATCGCAATTACAATTAACCAACAACAATTCGTAACAAATTTTCAATTACAATTAACCAACAACAATTCGTAACAAATTTGCATTTCCATCTTCCAATTGGTTTCGCAAAAAATAAATTAAAAATTGCTTTGAACAACTGTGCTCACCTTAGCTTAGATATGCTCTAGCAAATTCACCTTCGCAGCTGAAAATTCTTCCCAATTGCTGTGATATGATTACGATTCCAACAAATTTCGCCTCTCACATGAGCTTTGAAGATGTTGGGATCTTCAAAGTAAGTACTAATACACAATAAACAGACAAAAAGAACCGTTGCAGTGGGCCCCACAAACGGCTAATCTAACAGTTTCCGTCAACTGGTATCAGTTTTAAAAAAAACTGATTTGTAGTGGTAGTAAAATAAAAAAAAAAAAATTTAGCGGTAGCAAAATTCAATAACAGGACTTTTTGTGGTACCAAAAGTCAAATGACTCTAATTAGAGAATTAAATTTGAGCAAAAATGATTGGAAATTCAAAGTACGAGTTGATTTGAGCAAATCCTTCCATGACACTTGTCATTACGTTGTGAAAATTTATCTTTAAGTAAACCATTTATACCTTATGATATTTTCTTTCCACTTTAACAATCATATTCCATATATACCTAAATAAAATATATTTTTTTTATATATTTTTTAATATTATTGTAAAAAATATTTAACAACCGTGCATTGTACGAGATTTTAACCTATTTTTATTACAATCTCCAATTTTCTCCTAAAATTCCGTACATAGAGAAATGAAACAAGTATTTAAAAACAAGGGTGAAAGAGTATTAATTTTGAAAAGACTCCGTAACCGAGCATGGCACAAGATCTAGCTGGAAATTGGGAATACAGAGGAAGAGTCAAAATTAGCTCATACTACGTATTTGGCTACTTGTTGAGTTGAGTCCCTATCATCATCAACCAAATTCAAGAGCATCAATGACCAAATCTTGGCACTGAACTAGCAAACAAACAAACCACCTTAAAAATGGCTGCTCTCAATCTCTCTCCAATCACACCATCCACCACCAAAATCGGCTGGATTGGTATCGGCATTATGGGTTCTGCCATGGCATCTCGCCTACTCTCAGCTGGCTATTCTCTAACCATCTACGCTCGCACCCCATCTAAAGCCGACCCACTTCTCGCTCTTGGTGCGCACCTTGCCGCTTCTCCGGCCGATGTTGCCAAATCTTCGGATGTTGTCTTTACTATGTTGGGACACCCACAAGATGTTCGACAAATTGTCTTAACCAAAAAAACCGGGGTTTTATCAGGTTTGAGCTCTAATGGTGTTGTCATTGATCATACCAGTAGTCATCCCGAGTTAGCTAAGGAGATATTTGCTGCTGCTCGTGAGAAAGATTGTTGGGCAATTGATGCTCCTGTTTCTGGGGGTGATGTTGGTGCTAGAAATGGTAATTTGGTTATTTTTGCTGGAGGAGAGAGAAGTGTTGTTAATTGGTTGCTGCCATTGTTGGAGATTATGGGTAGTAAAGTGAGTTTTATGGGTGGTCCTGGAAGTGGGCTGAGTTGTAAGATAGCTAATCAGATAATGGTTGGTGCAAATTTGGTTGGGTTAAGTGAAGGGTTAGTTTTTGCTGGGAAAGCAGGGTTGGATAGGAGGGGTTGGATGGAAGCGGTTCGAGGCGGGGCTGCTGGTTCTATGGTGATGGAGCTATTTGGACAAAAGATGATTGATAGGGATTATGATCCTGGTGGGATTACTGAGTACATTGTGAAGGATATTGGTATGGGACTTGATTTCGCCGAGGGGCGGAAGGGTGGTGATGAAGATGAGGTGGTTGTAATCCCAGGTGCATCATTGAGTAAGCAACTCTTTGTTGGGATAGTTGCTAATGGTGATGGAAAGGTTGGCATTCAAGGTCTTATTAGTGTTATAGAGAGGATCAATGGCATTTGAGGTGAAGCTTTATTCTCTGTTTTAGCTTTCTTATGGAGTCATGGGAACTATCTATTAAGCTTTTAATTTTGCTTTATAAACTTTATCTTGTGATCTTGAGTGATTTATGCAAATTGGAAATTGTGTATGTTATCTTTTGTATGCTAATCTATTAGTGTTCTTTGGAAAAGTGCATTTTGCAAACTTATAACTTACACTTATAATGGGTTAATTTTCTCTGTTCAGATATATGTAGGTAGTTCAATTTTCCGTCTTATGAAATTTGTGTGATAGCGCATAATTATTTAGTCCCTCTTTTTTTCATGGAAATTTGATTGGTAGATCTCAGCTTAGAGCTCAATCTCGACCCAATCGATTGACCATTTAATCAAACATTAGGCTGTGACTGTAAACCTGCAAGTGTTTGGGTGGTTCATTTTAGTTCTGGTCCTTGCTAGTAACTCTTGCCCAACCAATTGAATTCAACTTTCAATAGCTATAAAGCATGCCTTTAGAACTGTTCACTTTTGTGAAGCTATTGCATCATACTATGACAGCTATTACAAGGAAGTACTCAATTTTTATCCGCAAGTGACCTGATGTAATACTCTAGAAAATATAGAAATTAAAGGTATAATATCAGGCATTCAAAAGGCTCGATTTTCAACTAGAAGCATGATAAGCTCTCCCCAATTTTCTTCATGATTTTCTCTCATAAGTCTCTCCACCCTTTTTATGTATAGAAAACTATTTCCTTAAGTTTTTTGCTTTTCTAGTTCCCTCTTTAGCTACTATGAAATTAATAATGCATCATATAACACCCCCGATTTTCTACCTAAAATAAAAAAAGAAATTAAGGAAATGATACTACCTTAACCTTTATAAAATATAATGATTATCAAGTGTTAAGCTTACAAAAAATCCACAATTCAAAAAAACTAACTGATCTACTTATACATTTGTAACAAAATGAAAGTACCAAACTTATGGTAAAAGACACAATGGAAACACTTGAGCTGCTGAGCTCCTTATTTTAAACTTGGGGTTTACATATTGGCTGCTCACCAAGAGGCAAAATTCCATATGGATCATCACAAGACCACCCTAAGCAGAAATGGACACAAACACAGTTAACACACAATAAACATACGTTGGTGAAAGTTGAGTGATCACCTTAAATAAAGATGTATCAATATAATTATAGTTGCTCAGTTACGAATACTTACGATGTAGCTCAAAGAACAAACTTTAGTAGATTCTGACTGACCCCTATAGCCACCCACTTCACATAATAAAAATAGAAAGGGTTTTACACAAACTGCCTAAGACCCAAATTTTTTTATTTATTTAAATTTTCTATGGTATTTGGATAGGGAAACTCTCTAAAATGGAGTGCTAATGACAAAAAGAACACTTGTGCTTTTTGATGGTTAGTATTTACCTCCGTTTCATATTACTCGCAACAATTTCTTAAAACGGATGCTTCACATTACTTGCAACAAATTTTTTTCTTTCCTTTTTTAGTAAGTTTTTTTTTGTGTAAAATGTCAATTTTACCCTTACTTTTTTTATTTATTTTTATTTTTTATAAACACCCTAATTAATCTCTGATTATATCTTATAACCTTAATCCCAAAACTGATTAACTTAACCATTCCCACCAAATTCATTTCACCTTCATTCATCATCTTACCAACCACCTTCATTCATTGCTGCATTCAATGTTTTGGATTAAAATGTTTGGGGGGGTTGAAATCTGGAGAATTCTCCTGAAACCCCAACCATACCCTAGTTCTTCACATTTTCTTCTCATTCTCTCTCCTCTGCCGCTCTCTCATTCTCTCTCTCACTGGGCTCTCTTCTTTCTCTCTCTTCATATTTTGGGTTTGATTTGTTTGCTCTTTCACCATGACCACTCCAAACGATGAGAACTCCAATCTGTTCTGCTATGAGTCCCTTGATCTTGATAGGGGAGAAGGAAACCGTTCGCCACCAAAGAAGCGGTACATGGCTGAGCGAGGAACTGGTGTTCTGAAACCAGTTCATCACCTTTTGATTTTTGTAGATTTGAAGAAAGGTGATGAAGTGGTGGCTGATGGTTTTTTTGGACAATTAACCAAACTAAGCTTGATTACAAAACAAATTTGTAAATTAGATGCGTGGCAAAACTATTTGTAAATTTGTAAGCTTACAGGGTAAAACGCTGTCTCGGACAACGTTTTATGCCCTGGTTTTTTTTAAAAAAATATTCAATTTGTAAAACGCTGTTGAGACAGCGTTTTACATATTGACTTTTTTTTTTAAAAAAAAAAACCAAATTTCTGATTTAAAAAATAAATAAATTAGTGAAACGCTGCCTCAGACAGCGTTTCACTATTTATTATATTTTTTAAAAAATCATTAGATACTCTTATAGGTTGGAGCAGTAGTGAGCGTTGCTTATAGTTTTCTAGACATCACAGGTTCGATTCTCTTTCTCAACACTTTTATTATTATTTATTTATTTATTTTTATTATTTTTTTAGACTTGATATCTATGCATCTAGATTCATTTACCTCAAACTCTCCGCCCAAAATTTCGGTAATCAGCTACATGCCTACATCATAATCACCTTTTCCATTCTTAAACCTTTCATATTCAATTCCAATTTTATTTCCTCCTTCAATTATTCAATTTTTCTTTCTAATTTCTTCAAAATATTTCTATTACCAAGATTAATTTCCCTATCTACAGTAAAAACAAAATAAAAAATAAAAAAATTATTTTAAAAGTTTTTAACTTTAATTTTTCAATTATTATCAATTAATCTACACAAATCCTTCATTATCTTCCAAATTCATTTCACCCATATCAATTTTTATTTCAAATAGAAAAATATTCAGTTTGTTTTACGAGTATTACAAGGGCCTTATTTTTGAGGAGTTGCACAGGGCCCCTTTTGCATTACGCCATTGTAGCCCCGGCACTGTGCTTCAATGGAGAATGTTGTAATGGTTGCTGCTTCAATGGAGAACGTGGAGTATGCTTCAATGGAGAACATGGAGTATCTGATTTTTTTAAAAAATAAAATAAAATAAAAATAAGTTTGAGGTAAATGAATCTGGATGCATAGTTATCAAGTTTAAAAAAATAAATAAATAAAAATAGATAATAAAAATAAATAAATAAATAAAAAATAAAAAAAAATAATAAAAGTGTTGAGAAAGAGAATCGAATTTGTGATGTCTAGAAAACTATAAGCAACGCTCACCACTGCTCCAACCTATAAGAGTATCTAATTTTTTTAAAAAAAAATAAAATAAATAGTGAAACGCTGTCTGAGGCAGCGTTTCACTAACTTATTTTTCTTTAAAATCAGAAATTTGGTTTTTTTTTTTTAAAAAAAAGTCAATATGTAAAACGCTATCCCAGACAGCGTTTTACAAATTGAATATTTTCTTAAAAAAAACCAGGGAATAAAACGCTGTCTCGGGACAGCGTTTTACAAATTGAATATTTTCTTAAAAAAAACCAGGGTATAAAACGCTGTCCGAGACAGCGTTTTACTCTGGAAGCTTAGTTTGGTAAATAGTTTTGCCATGCATCTACTTACAAAATTGTTTTGTAATCAAGCTTAGTTTGGTTAATTGTCCAGTTTTTTTTGCGGTCTTCAACGTAAGCTAATTTCTGTAGTTAGCCTGCTGGTGGTACTAACACAGCAATTAGAAATTAGATGATTAATCACTAATTTTAGGATGGTTGTAATTTGAAACTTATTTTGTAAGCTAAATAGTATTGCTTTTAATCCCCCGTAATGGGGTAACCCCTTTTTATAAGGGCCTTTTGATTTGAATTGAAAGAATTATGCATTTTTGGGTGAAAATTTGAAAACTTTGAACTTTCATCTAAAAAATGGGAGGGAAACAAAGTGGGGTATCTTTTTTGGCTCCCCAAAAGGTGAAAGTCAGATTTTTTGGGAGGGAAATAAACCCCCAAAATAAGGCCCCACTTGGTTTTCTTAAAGTCAAATAACCCCACTAACTTTCTCTCCTTTTTTAACTCTCCTTACATACTCATCCCTATAATTAATCCCCCTACAATCTTTTGCCTAGGAGTCCACAGAATTGTCCTTTGTTGTGAGTAATAGGAAACGGATCTAGTACAAGTTTAAATTGTATTAGCTATTAGGTTATCATGGAGTTTATAAAGCATATGTATCAATGTAACATAATGTAGGATGAATGGATGATGAAATATGATAATGATGAAATGGTTTTGGGAGTTGGCTAATATACATAAATGTGGCTGATGATCTATGGTGATCAACGACTACTTCAATGGAACCATTCACCACATTAAATAAAAAAAAAGGGTGAAGTTCTAATGAATATAATTTGGTTCAATCAAAAGCTCACAAGGCATGCATGAATTCTTATCATTATTAGACTCTTATTGGTATAAACAAGGGTTTCCATATAGGATCTGGTAATAAGAGTCCCATCGAAATGAAAGAGACTTTTATTACTTTACGTACTTTAATTTTTTTTTTTTTTAAAAAACAAGGGTATCTCAATTTATCAATATATGACAATATAAATTAGGAAACTCACTATGTTATAGAAAAACTATATGAAATGGTAATTAAGAATATTCGTAAACAAGCTATACTTTATAAAAGAAATATACACTCTATTTTCTCAATCATACATTTTTGTTTTAAATTATATACAGGCCGTATTTGGTGAAAAGCTGAAAGCTGAAGCTGATTGTGTTAGTTGATTTTGACTAGTTGATTGTATTAACTTATTTTTATTGGTTGATTGTATAAAAGTATTTGGTACATAGCTGATTGCTTAAAGTTGTTTGAGTATGTGAAATGACCAATAAGCTGATTTTGAGGGTAGGTAGTTGAGGTAGGATTTTAAATCAAATGGAGGTATAAGTGTCATTTCACCTTAAGACATTGAATAAGCTAATGAAAAATCTCCTAAAAGGAGCATTTTCAAAAAGAGCTTATTTAATGGAATAAGCTCTTAAATAAGCTTTTCACCAAACACTTTAAATTAGCTTATTTAATAGTCAATAAGCTAATGTTGTTCAAATAAGCTATTTACCAAACATAGCCATAATATATGCGTGTATTACATCATATCTTTTTAGATAAAAAAATAATAATTTGAAACTTCGATTTAGATTTTTTTTTTTTTTTAATAAATCCGATTGAGGGTGTTTGTCAGGATAAGGTGTTGGAGATAAAAGAAGTCCTTTTGTTCAAGGGATTTGGATAGGGATAAAGCCTTTCTTTTTATCCCACCAAATCTATACCTAGGGAGTGGGTGGTATAAGGAGAGGGAGAAGAATTGTGTAAGAAGAGATAATATGCCCTTCATGGAAAGGAAAGGAAAGAGAACAAAATTAGAGAGTTAGTAAAAGTATGACAATAATTGTTCTAATTACCCCAGTCTTACTCCCTACTTATTCCAAACATGGGAAAGCACTTAGGCGACATTTGATATGAGGTATTCAAAAAAGGGTAAGGGAAAAGGGTAAGGGAATGAACTCTTTTAAATCCCTTCTTCTCCATTGGCATTCATTGCACTTGACAACATCAACATATACAACCTCCGTTCTTTTTTGTGTTTTACTCACTTCCTTATTTACTATTCAATGGGTCAAACTGAAATTTTTTCAACCATCTATTGCTACTTGTGTACAATATAAGTTATCATCATGTGTTATCTCATTAGAATTGTTCAGTAAATACAATGTAGTATCCAACTATCAAATTTTCATAATTTACATTAGTACGTAATTATATATCTAGGTGGTCATTGCATCAAAAAAAAAAAAATCTACGTGGTCAAATATGTGCGTTGGAGATCGCACAAAATGCAAGTGAGCAGAATAAAAAGTAATGGAGTGAGCACTTGCTCTTACCTACCCAAAACACATACTCAATTTAGAAAATTTTCAAATTAATCTTATGGCTAGTTGTATTCCCCATTTTTGAATTGGTAAAAAAAAAAAAAGTTCCTTTGAGATGATCTAAAAAACTGTGAGTTTGTTATGCACGTCTCTCAAACCAAGCTTCTAATGATCCTAACAGCTTCCTCAGTTTGATGTCTTGGATTTGCTTAAGGGACACCTGCTCCCAAAAGATAGGAAACTTGGAAATTAGAGAAAATTGTATGCTTCTAGTTTAATGTACTTAAGGCAAAGAAGGATATTTTGCAGGTAAGATCAAAGTTGCATTGTTTTTGCTCTTATGCTATGTGTTCCGAGGGTTTATGAACCACATAAATACAGGCACTATGGACCTAATTTATTAGCAAAGTTTTGCTGGTAAACCACCTTCATATCAGTCAATAAATCTTGTAAGAAATGATTGTAGCAGTTCCTTTCTATAGTTTGACCTCAATCCAAATAATTTATTGCATGGACAAGATTGCTTAGCTGGATCCTTATTCCCTTACATGGATGTGAATAAATTGCATGGCTGCTTTTGATTCTGGTACTTAGGAGTTAATATGACAGGGATATGAGCTTAAAATGTTCCCTTTATAGTATTACCCCCTCAGTCTTTCTTCAATTTTCATGATAAATTCTCCCAAGTTTCTGCTCATCCTCTTATACTTACAACCTAGGCACTTCACCAATGCTTCTAAGAAGCAGGGGATTCTGTAGGTGACTAGGACTTATGATTGTGTTATTAATTTATTTTTCTTGAGTAAGTTGTTTTCTCTCTAGAATTGGCTAATAGTTATGAAATGCTTATTCATCCTGAACAAGGTAATGTGTGAACAGTTAAATTCTAAGTAATTGAATCTAATATTTTACTGATAGTTGCTGCTGCTTAAGATTATTAGTTGCTGTTTGAAGGTTCTCAGTCGAAGCTGGATATTGATTTTGTCCTTAAGATGGTGTTACTATACAAAATATTAGAAAATTCTTATAGCAGCTATATATTTAGTAAACAAAAGCTTATTATGTCATCCACATTTTTTTGGTAGGCATTTCAGCTAACTACTGCTTGATTAGCATATAATTCTTTTCTGTTTTCTCTAAATGGGGAAGGGGGTGTACATTATATAGAGGAATGCCTGTGTTGCATGATTTGCTTTTAAGAATCGATGTTGATGTGTATGGATTACTTGTCCTAAGAGTACTTAGCTGCTGGTTTAGTTCAATAGCTATTTGAGCAACATGATGTATAATCGGGATATCTTTTTTCTCAATAATAAACTGTGCTATCTATATAATAGTATGTTCACTTGTTTAGAACATACTAAATAATATCTTATGGCCTTTCCAGTCTTATCTCTGGTATGTTCTGGCAATACTTCAATGTTGAACTTGCATATTTTTATGTCCTTTGATGCATATATTAAATGGGTGCTAGCTTATATAATCTATAAGGTATAACAAGAAGCAAAGGCTGCCAATTATAAAGAAAGTAAATTTTATAACTTACTTCCAGCTAATGCTTCGAAATTCCTTGTGTTTACTTATATTAGAAGTTGCCAGATCTGCATACTCATATATTCTTTGCAGTACATGATAGCTAATAAGCTGTCCAAACTAAAAAATTCATACTCACTTTTGGTTTTGGGAAACAGGCTTTTTCTTACCAAAAAGCTGCCTAGTGAACCTATCATAGCTGTCAACTACAAAAACATTACCCCTATATCAACAATAACTTCTCAGTTGGACAAACGCACAGGTGACATTTCGTGTAAGAGAGCTTTGTTTGCTTGGGAAAATTGTGTATACCAAGAGCGGCTGAGGCTGGAACATCAATGATGTGGTGCTTTGAAATAAGGTAGCTATTACTAAGCTCCTTTGGGCATTAGGAGATAACTTAAAATGTCCCATTACATTACAAGTACTATTCCTTGGAAGGTGAGGAAGCTATTTGGGATGCAGTGATTTAGTAATTCAGCCTGGTGGGTGGGGTTCTGTTGAAAATCAAGGTTATTGCTCAAATAAGATATATACAAGTTTCTGTGTGGTAGCTTAAGGATTTTATTTTTTTTGGCTATGTTGAGCAAACTTCCATATATTGATAGACTTTTATATGGAGTATGACACTATAATCTGTTTTATTCTATGTGCTGCCTTTGTAAGGAAGAATAAGATAGTTCGGCACCTATTTTGCCACTACAATTCTCAAAGCAGGTTTCACAGTTGATTTTTGATCTGATGGGTTATTCTAGACCTGCAGCAGAATTTGCTGTTGAAGTTAGTTACGCTGTGTAAACTGACAGAAAGACTGCTAATTGTAACCTCTATAACATGTTCTTTGCAAAAACTATATTACCCTGTGAAGGAATACATACATGTTTTTTTTTAAGAACAAATGTAAAGGTCCTACTTTGCTAATTCAGGAAAGAGTTCACCTAAGTTGCATGTAGAAGTAGTGATCAAATGTGATGCTTATTGGATGTAGTCGATTGATTCTACCCCTATATTGTAAATGACATTTTTTCTGTTATAACACCTGCTGACACAAGTAAACTTTAAAATGGAAAGTAGGTAACTCATATACTTCTTATAAAGTAACTCTTGTTAAAATTAGTAAAAAAAAGTTTATGATCACAAGATTCATAATAACCCTCCTAATTATAACATCTAATATAGAGTAAGGACCTCATATACTTCTTTTTTTTTTTTTTTTTTTTTTTTTTCTCTCCAAACTAGTAAAGAATCCATAGTTACAGGTTTAAAAACAGCAAATTAAAACTTGTATTTCTATGAAGTTCGACAATGATGACCTTGCTCTCATCACATTTTAACCCCCGCCCCCCTGCACGTTAATTATCTTGCGAGTCCTAGTTTCTTCTTCATTATGATTGATTTTTGTGTGGCTATAGACTTGTAGTTATTGAAGAGAGAGAAAAAAGGGAACATCAACAATGGAGGAGAGAGGGAAAAAAAAAAGCAAAAAAAAAAACACTTTAATAATTCCAATTATAGGCGATTTACTTTTAATAATCACAACTAAGGTTTACTTTTTAATAATCTTAACTATGCTATGTGTTTGCCTCCAGTGGTCCAAATGACCGGTAACCTGCTGAAAGAGGTTTTTTTTTTTTTTTTTTTTTTTTTTTTTTGGGTTTTAATTGCCAAGTGTCAAAACGTGATTGGTCCAAAATTAAAAATAAAAAATAAAAAAACATAAAAAAAAAAACTGCAAAAATTCTCAGCCACCTTCCCCCACCGCGAAACCCTAACCCCACCCCTAAACTCGACGGAGACTGGCCGGCCGCCCCCAAATTGACCTAGCCCCGAAATTACCTACCTAGCCACCCCGATCTCAAAAACCACCAAGTCCAACGAAACCAGGCTAGGTTTTTGGGATTGGGGTGGCTGGGTAAGTGGTTTCGGGGTCGGGGCTAGGTCAATTGGGGATGTAGAAGGCCGCCCGGTAGGTTTCGGTAGTTAGGGGGGTGGCCGGCCAGTTTTCAACGAGGTTAGGGAAAGGGTTAGGGTTTCACGGTGGGGGAAGGTGGCTGGGAATTTTTGGGGTTTTTTTATGTTTTTTTAATTTTGGACCAATCACATGTTGACACGTGTCATGGTTACATGTTACAATAGGTTGTTGACTTGGTGTTGACCGGTTGGGACCATTGGAGGCAAACGCATAACATAGTTGGGATTATTAAAAAATAAACCTTAGTTGGGGGTTATTAGAAGTAAATCGCCCATAATTGATATTATTAAAGTGTATTTTTCCCAAAAAAAAAAAAAAAAAAAAAAAGAGACCAACAATAAAGGGTTGAGGAAAAAATGAGAAGCATACAACAATTGAACTGGCAAAACAATAATAAACCAAATAGAGGAGAGAGTGAGATAGTTAAGTTGAATGAATCCTAATATCTCGACGGATTACAAGAGAAAAAATATATGCTTTTATTTATTTTTTATCTAACTAGTTGTGGGTGCACCCGCAACGTGGGTGCCCTCCAATTTTGTGAAATCAAGCGTGAAGTAAAAAACATGTATTTTATTTTTATTATTTATTTTTTTTTTCATTAAAGCAGTATTTATATATATATATATATATATATATATATATATATATATATATATATATATTTCATGAGGCTAGGTGAAAAGCTTTTAAAAAGATAGTGTCGGGATTTATATGCACTGTAGTGTGCATTTGCAATCTTCAATTTTTGTAAAATTATTACCGGGTTACTTAAGCGTGATTAAGTCTCGTAATGACAATATGTAATACCAAACTTAACATTTAATTAAAGTAGAGGGAAGTTTTTAGAAAGATTATTTTTTGTTTTAAAAGAAGAATGTGTGATTAATTTTTATTTTAGTGTAAAGGATTGTTCAAAAATTACGTCAATTAATTTGATGTATAAAATGAGCAATCATTGTTCGGTAAAACATGAACTAATGTAAAAGATATTAGGAATAAGGCTAAGTGGAAAATTGAAAAAAATGATTGATGATTTAAAAAAAAAAAAAAAAATCTATCTTGGTTTCTAAAATTGGTAAAATTTATATTGGTAAATGAACAAAAGATGTTGATCAATAGGCCAATTTAAAATTTGAATCATCATGTCGAATTACACAATACATTACATATTACATAATTAGTCGAAGATTTAATTTTTTTATTTTTTTTAAATTTTTTTTTTTATCTTAACATATGTTCATTTAGATCATGAAAGTTGAAGTGGTTAATTAGTAACGAATTGCTTTTTATTAAATTTTGAATTTTTGCTTTAAAAAAAGTGGTCTATGTTTTGTTTATGTCTTGTACAAGGTAATTTGATGTTGATTATGTATGCCTTGTGTTTATTCAATGGTAAGTTTGTTTCAGATTGCTGATTGATGCTTATATGTTTTCTATTGTTAAATTAATAAAAGTTATAACAGTAGTAGCAGATTTATTTGTAATCATATCAATCAAAATGCTTAATGCATGGAAGATTGAGTAATTAGAAGGCCATAAACTAATTAAACAAATGTTATTTGCAATTTTTATATGTAATGCTAAAATGAATGTATATTCTTTGACTGAATTTACTTGTAATATACATATCTAAAATAGGGAGTGCTTTTTTTTTTTTTTTTTTTTTTTTTTTTTTTTTTTTAATTTTAGAGAGTGCTTTTAAAAATAACTTGTAGGTGTAGGATATGTAGTTAGTATTACATATCTATGCAAACTGAATTGCTTATATACATTCCTAATAAAGAATGCTAATTACTAAATATGCTAACGAATTCCCCATGACATACGGAAAAAAGGGAAAATTTTCACATTTGCACTCAAAGGTAATTGAATTATATAATTAGTTCAGTAATAAATTACAAAATTCAACACAAAGCATTAATTATATACGTTAAGAATGGTCTCTTGAAATGCTTCTTAGCTCTTCCATCATCTATTGCTCTAAAACCTCTATTTCTCTCTTTCCCTTTACCCCCTCCCCTCCCCTTTGTCTCTCTGCTCCCTCTTTTTTTAATGACTTTGAAAATTATAGGTTGCAATTGCCCGCTCGCGCACTTGACCTTTCCCTGTCTCCCACCAACCCCCCCTTTTTTCTAGCTTCTCTATGCTATCTTCGTATTTTCCTAGCCTTCCTCTATCTTTCTTTCCTGATACTTTTCTCTTCCCCAACCTATTAATCCCTATATCATTTTATCTTTCTATCTCCCGGGCCCTATCCATCTCTCTCTCTATTTCTTTATTTTTTTCTCTTATGATCGTTGTCTTTTCTCTTGCCCCTATTTTTCTCTCACTCTCTCCTCTTTTTATCTCAAATTTTTTTCCTAACCCCTATATTTTCCTTTCTCTTCTCTGACTCCTCTCCCCCGGTCCCTTTTCCCATCACTCTTTCTCTCTCCTGAGTCCCAACCCTTCTCCTTTCCCGCAATACTCTCTCCTCTTCTAGCCTACCCTCTTTCCATCTAGGCTTGCCTTTTCTCACTCTCTGTCCCTTTCTCTCTCCTAGCCCTTTTCTCTTTCTCAATAGTCTCTCTCCTAACTCCCTCTCTTTCTTAATGTAAAAAGAGTTAAATATTTATAGCTATGATTATCTATGTGTTAACAGAAAGGTAGTACATTTCTTTGGATATATGTAACTTCACTTTTTGGAAAAAGAAAATGAAACAGATTGCAAATATTTTAAAAAGATTCTATGGGTAAAAGATCTTGTAACATTCATTGAATATCTTGTAATTTTACTTTTTGTAAAAGAAAATATAATAGATTGTAAAATTATAGATTACCCTTGCTCCCTTCCCCTTGCCCCTCTCTCCCCAGGCCCCTTTATTTCTCCCAGCTTCTCTCTATCTCCCTCTTTTTTATGGCCTCCCTCTCCAGAGCCTTCTCTCTCTCCCCCAACCTATCTCTCTCTTTATCACTCTTTCTACTATTTATCTCTCTTCCCCCATCCCCTCTTTCCCTTTATTGTTCTATTTCTTTCTATTTCAACCCTTATCTTTCTCCCGTGGTCATCTTTCTCATTCTCTCTTTATTTCACTATTTTTTTTCTCCCAACTCATCTTTCTCTTTCTATCTCTTTATCTCTTCTTCCAACTTTACTGTCTATCTCTTTCCTGACCACTTTTTCTTTTTCTCTCTCATGACCCCTCTTTTCTCCTGACATGCCTTCTCCTAGCCTCTCTTCTTTTCTCTTCTCCTCTCTAGGCCTGCCCTTTATCCCTTGCCCTCTTTCTCTCACCTAGCCCCTTTTTCTCTTTCACCTCATCTCTCTTTCCCGACCCTTCTCTAACTTCGTTCCTTCTCACTCGACGCATCCCTCTCTCCCTGCCCCTCTCTCGCTATCTCTCATGTCCCCCCTCTCTCTCTCTCCTTCTCCCCCGCCCTCTATCTTTTCCAGCCTCTCTCTCTCTCTCTCCTTATCTCCCTCAGCTCTCTCCGTCTCCTTTTCCTCTATGTCTCCCACTCCTTCTTTCCCTCTATCACGATTCTACCTTAAGTTTTAATTTTTTGTTCTAAATGTGTTATTAATCAATTTGACTTTCTATACAAAGTAGCACATTAATATTAAGTTTAAGCAAATAAGATTGGCAATTAAGTGACCATATCTCTCTTTCTCTCTCCTTTATTTCATCCTTATCTCCCTCCTTCGCTACTTTATAATTTTGCAAAATTTGTTTAGATAATCTTTACTTGCGTTCAACTCCCACCCTCATCCCCCA